GGAAACGATAAGCAGGGTGCTCTCAGAAAAACCTGGAAAGACTTAGATAAACTGATGCAAAGTGAAATGAGCAAACCAAGAGAACATTATGCATAGTAACAGTATTGTATTGATGATCAACTGCAAATAACTTATCTATTATCAGCAATATAATGATCTAAGATAATTCCAAGGGACTTATGATGAAAAATGCTATCCACCTCCAGAGAAAACAATGATGGAGTCTGCATGCAAATTGAAACGTACTTTTTTTAACTTTATTTTTCTTCGGATTTTTTGTCTGTTCTTTCTTTCACAATATGATTAATATAGAAATATGTTTTGCGTGGCTGCACATTGCTTGCCTTCTCTATTAAGGGGGCAAAAAGGAAGAGAGGGAGAGAATTTTAAATTTTAAAAAACTGAATGTTAAAAATTGTTTTACCTGTAATTGGGGAAAATAAAATATTAAATAAGTATTTTTACTATGAACTTAATAATCATCGATAAAGTCTTCAATATATGGAAAAACTCACAAAATGGGATTGCATATGAAATGGTATCCTCTTATGGACAGCTTTTTAAAGTGTTTTTTATATTTAACAAGGTGGTAACAAAATTGCCCTAATTGTTTGTGTCCCTTCCTAAACTTCCAAGTCCTTCATATCTTTTTTCCTCTACTTGGAATATCTCTCACTATACCCCCCCCACCAAACCTCTCAACCTGTCAAAAAAAAGTACTACCCACACTTCAAGGAAGATCTAGATTGACTTCTGCCTTCTTAACAAAGCTTTCCTGTCAAGTCCAGTCCAAATGGTCCCTCTCTCTTTTGAACTTCTAGCCATTCATTTCCTTAGTTATGTCTTCAGACATATGGTATGTCTCATCTCCCTAACCAGACGCAATCCATTTCTATTCAACAATTGCAGGTTAATTATTCATTGTTAAGGTGATGGGGAAACAAAGATGAACTAAAACAGAATTCACTTCTCTTGCTATTTGAGTGGATAAGACAGACATGTATACAAATGACCTTAATACAAAAAAGAATGTGATCAATACAGAGGAGTCCAAAATACTATTATATAGTAGTTAGCATCTCCATAGCACCTGGAGGTTTGCAAAACAATTTACAATTTTTTTGACCCTCACAGCAACCCTATGAGGTAGGTGCTGCTATTACCCTTGATCTGAGGCAGATGGGAATCAAGTGACTTGCTCACGATTACAGAGTTAGGAAGGAAGATTTGAACTCAGGTCTTCCTAACCCTGGGTCCAGCTCGCTATCCACTTTGCCTCATAGATCCCTTCAGAAACTCAAATAAGTTTGAGTTCTTTCCATCATTCCTTTGAGACCTCTCTGAACCTGCCCACCCTACTCTGTGTGCCATTTTGGTTTTTTGCAAACCTATCACAGGCTTTCTTTGGTCTTCCTTATCTTCATGAAGGATCAATCCCAGGTGTTCTTTTTCTAGTTTACTCCTCTTCCACAGGCATGTACTGACAAGCTTAAGAACATGCAATGTGTTGGCTAGTGATCTCCCACAGGAACAATAAACTTTGTGTTAATGCTTGCAACCAGTCTTCCTTCCCTTTGTGCTGTTCTCATGAAATGCATTGAGCAGCTGTAAATTTAATATGAAAATCTAATTAGCAATGGAAGAGAGATGCCAAATATTCAAACTTGATTTTCAAGATCTTTCCAAGAACTTCCTGGTTGGGATTTTTTTTTAAAGTTTGGAGCCAAGTTTTTCTACAGAGAGGGAAATTTGGGACAGGCAGATTAACCCCAGTGTTCTCGTGCAATATGCAGAGATTGCTCTGAGATAGAATAGCAAACAGATTGGGGACAACTTGAGGAAAACTACAGGATCAGACCCCACCTCTAAACTCTAAAACTAGCTTTGGGACCCTAGGCAAATCACATAACTTCTCAGCCACAATTTACTCATTCATAAAATGAGGATAATAACAGGTGCAGTACCTCCCTCACAAAAGTCATAGCAAGGGTGAAATGAAATAATATATGTAAAGTAGTTTGCAGACTCTTAAATGTCAAATAAATTCCAGCCATTGTGATTATATGCACACAGATTGGTGTAGGAAAAAGAGCACAAACCTGGGAGTCAGAAGACTGTTTCTAATCCAAGATCCACCATTTATGAACCATATAACCTTAGCCTGCTAGATGGCATAGTGGATAGAGCCTAGAGTCAGAAAGACCTGAGTTCAAATCCTAACTTAGAAACTTACTAGCTATGGCATTTAACCTTTTTTTACCTCAGTTTCCTCATCCACAAAATGAACATAATAGCATCAATCTCCCAGGACTGTTGAGAGGATCAAATGAGACAGTAATTTGTCTAGTATTTTGCAAACCTGAAAGCATTATATAAATGCTGTCTTTTATCATTATTATTTTAGATCTGAAGTGAGAGGGAGTCCTGGCATTTGGCAGAGTGGAGAGGGAACTGGCCTTGAAACCAGGACCAGCTAGGGTTCAAATCTCACTTCTGACACACACTGGCTATGTGACCTGGGGGCAGATCATGCATAAACTCAGTGGTCTAGGCAGCTCTCCAAGACTGTAATTGCTGATCTTCTTTGGTAGAGGAGCTTCCTCCTGGAAGAGTTATGCACATCAGTGAAATCACAGGTCTTGACCCTATACCTATAGCTCATGCCTATATAATGACCTAGAACAATGAATGCCTCCAACTCTGGCATAGTAATAATATTAATATTGATAACCATAATAATAATAATCTCAGTCACTTATTACATAGTACTTTAATCTTGCAAATATTGCCTACACTATGTCTACATTGTTTTATCTTGACTTCACAGGAACCGTAGGAAGGAAGGGCTTCAGTCATTATTGCCCCTGTTTTACAAATGAAACCGAGTTTCAGGAAACACATATGATAGGTAGCTAAGGAAATGTGAATATTTATTGAAAAAAAGAATTTAACTCAGGAAGCTACTGTTAAGTATATTGGGGCAAGAATCATTTCTTAATCATGGTTAGTATCAAATAAGCTAATATATTTAAAGCACTTTGGAAACCTTGAAGTGATATATAAATGCTAGTGATGATGATGATGATGATGATGATGACGACGACAATGATAATGATGCAGATGCAAGCATATTAATTCTTTCAAGGAAAAAATACTTAAATTCCCACTTGTCATCCAATATTTTAATCTTCCTGGACCTCTTCTACCTTTCCAATTTTCTTATATTTTGCTTCCTTCCACCTATTATGTGATTCAATGACATTGGTCTCCTGACTGTTCCACCACAAGACATTTTATCTTCTAACTCAAGGCATTTTCCCTGGCTCTTGGAATTCGCTCCTTTCTTATCTCCCTCTCCTGTCTCCCTGGTTTCATTCAAGCTCTCAACGAAATCTTTCCTTCTGTTAGGCTCTTCTATTTTCCCAATCCTCCTCAATTCTAGTGCCATTCCTGTTAATTATCTCCAATTTTTTCAGTCTATATTAAATTTGGACATAGCATTGCTTCCTCCATTGGACTGGAACTCCATGAGAGTAGGGGCTGTCTGTCATTTGCCTTTTTTTGTATCCCCACCACTTAGCATAGTACTCAGCACATAGTAAGCATTTAATAAATGCTTGGTGACTTCAGTGCTTAACCAGTCTCCTTTGTGAAATCTTTCTGCTCACCCCAAATAGTTAATACTCTCTCCCTTGTCAAATTCCTTAGATCTACTTTACTATATTTTATTACATATTTACTTTGTTTTACTATATTTACTTTACTACACTTTACTAATTATATACATGTCTTTATATATGCATATATGTATACATGTATATGTGTGCAAAAAAACCCTCATATTCACTGTATCCCTCGTATATTCCTCCAAAAGCCAAATGTCTTTGAGGAAAAGTAATGATTGGCTTTTTGTCTTGGTATTCCCAATGTCTGGCATAGTGCCTAGTACCTAGATTATACTTAATAAAGGTTCATTGAATGGAAGATGAATGTGAACAAAGTATTTCACAATCCTTCCACCTCAGAACCTCAGAGCTGGAAGGGATGGAAGGACTTCAGAAGTCACCTATATCAACCTCTGGGTCTTTGAGCGCATATGCAACACTACTTGGTTTTGCTACCGTGAGATTAACAAATTCCAAAACCTCAGTGATGATGGATGACTTAAAAGGCCAAAAAAAATCTGATGTGACTTCATGTGCTCAGTAGATTAAAAAAATTTCTGAACGACACAAATCCCTTCAATTTAAAGGCTCCTCTCCCAAACAGATTAATCATCACCATCTTTAGGCAAAATGTCAACAAGTGCTCACTCTCTGGACAAAAGGATTTTCTAGAGAGAAATATATAGGCACTTCCTAAGTTAGGTATTTATAACTCTTATGAATCCTGTGTACATAATAACTCTGGAGGACTGTGAGTTATTCGTTTAAAGGACTTATTAATCCCTTTAGCTTCATGAAAGAGCCATGGCATCTGCACCAGGTTTTTTGATGCTCACCATTTTGTTAGTTGCTCCAATAAATTACAATTTTTCAATTAGTTTTTTCAGGCTATCATTTGGAGTACTTTCTGCCATGCTTTTTTTTCCTTTTTGTGGAGAAGAAAATTGTGTGTGTGTGTGTGTGTGTTTTGTGTATGTGAAATTCACACATATACCACCAGATACATATCACTTGCATTCCCTATTTTTTTTTTTGCTGAGAATATCATTTTTTACCAATTGCTCAATGTTCTGCAAAAAATAAAAAGAATAATAAAAAAAAGTCTCTACTGAGCTCCACCCATCTTCCATTTCAACATAATAAATGTCCTATTTATTTTAAGGACAAAACACACAACCAAGATGTATCAGATTGACTATTAGTAATGATAATGCTAAATTGGCAAAAAGAAGCCAGCCAAGTGAGAAGAAGGCAGATGGGACACACCCTCCCAGCTCAGTATATAAAGGCTGGCCACAGTCTGGATAGCAAGCATTGCTTGAGCTGAACCTCTACTGCATCACTATGTCCCAGAGATATAGTTCCAGCAAACATTACTCTTCCTCCCGTAGTGGAGGAGGAGGAGGAGGAGGAGGAGGAAGTTCATCTGTCAGAATCTCAAGCAGTAGAGGCTCTAGCTATGGGGTTAGCTCTCTTGGTGGAGGATTTAGCTCAGGTGGGGGCTCTAGCTATGGCAGCTGCTCAAGAGGTGGGGGCTTTGGCAGTGGATCAGTAAGGGGCTTTGGAGGAGGCTTTGGTGGTGGCAGCTATGTTGGGAGTAGCTTTGGTGGTGGTAGCTTTGGTGGTGGTGGCTATGGTGGAGGAAGCTGTGGTGGTGGTGGTGGCTATGGTGGAGGAAGCTTTAGTGGGGGAAGCTATGGTGGGGGAAGCTATGGTGGGGGAAGCTATGGTGGGAGAACTTTTGGTGGATCCCTTGGGGGAGGCTTTGGTGGAGGTGATGGAGGCCTCCTCACAGGCAATGAGAAGATCACCATGCAGAACCTCAATGACCGCCTGGCCTCCTACCTGGACAAAGTGCGAGCTCTAGAAGAGTCTAACTATGAGCTAGAGCAAAAAATCAAAGAGTGGTATGAGAAAAATGGCAATGCAAATCAGCGAGAACCTCGTGACTACTCTCATTACTATGACCAAATCAAAGAACTGAAGGATCAGGTAAGAAACATCATTTATACTGCTTCTGAACGAGTCTTGTGCTTATTTCTTAGTCTTATATTTTAGATAACAATAGCTGGTCTCAGATCAGGAGATCTAGGTTCAAACTTCCTTTGACACTTACTAGCTACATGGCCCATGACAAGTCTCTTAACCTCTTCCAGTACCCCTAGGCAACTGTCTAAGACTCTAAGTTTCAGAGCAGGTTCTGATCTACATTATAAGAGGGAGTTTCTCATTGGTAGCTACTTACAGCAATGAAATCACAGATCTAGCCAAAGTCTTCTTCCCCCCACCAAAAAAAAATTGAGGGAGAGAAATCTTAAATCAAGAAACATGGGGCTGGTGATTATTAGTGGTTATTTTGTCCTTGGCCCTGGGAATAATTCAGTATGATCCAAAATCAGAAGAGTTAAGGGAAAGTGATCTCTAGCCAACATGCAATGGTAAACCATTATTGATCAATAAGGATGTCAGACTGCTGAAAGCTGTTGGGCCTCTAGGGAACTCCTAAAGAAAGGAAGTGTGATCAAAGAAATGAATGAAACAGAGAAACTACAAAAGGGAAAACTAAATGGGGAAAAAATGGGGGTGGGCTGGAAATCCCTGCTAGCTCTATCTGGGTGAATAAAACATTTTCCCAAATTCGTGGAAACTTGCTCTCTCTTACATTTTCCAGAAGTATGAATTCTCCTAATTGGAAGCAAGAGAGATGCAATTCATATCTTCCAAGAATATCTAAAATTCAGATCTGATGGATCAATTCTAAATATAATTACTTATGAATACACACATACATACATACATAAGTGTATGTATGTATGTATGTATGTATGTATGTATGTATGTATGTATAGGAAGTACCAAATCAGTCAGAGGTATCCTAGAGTCAGTGAAATAACATGGTGTGAAAAGATCAGGGATTTCATGGCTAAGTAAAAAGAATAAATGTCTGGTCAGAAAAGGCATGATTTCAGAAATCCTAGAAAATTCAAGCTTTAGGAGTCAAATGAGTGCATGATATCTTATTTTTAAAGGACAAAAGTATATCCATAGAACTCTGTGAGACGGCAATGTGTAAATTCAGTTCTTAAGAAGCACAGCCTTTTTCAAAAATCCATACACATGACCTCTTTCTAAATTATTTTTCCTCTACCAGATCCTGAATCTAAGCACTGACAATGCTAACGTGCTGCTGCAAATTGATAATGCCAGGCTGGCTGCTGATGACTTCAGACTGAAGTAAGCAAAGGGAATAAGAAGCATGTGCTCCTGAAATTGGTGTGGGTAATTGCTTAATAAAATCCAAATGAGTTACCAATGTCCCCCAAATGTCACATCTTGCCTGGTAAAAAAAAAAAATTCATTCAAAGTTCAACATTTTCCAAATCATCAAAAAATTTTTCAGTGGTAGCAATATGATTTATTATATTTGAGATCAGAAATATTTTGAAGCTAACTTCTAAGTCATTTTAGGCTTTGCTGCTTTTACTCAACTATTACCATCATTTGTGTATGAAGTAGAATGAACATGCTAGAATAAAATATGAAATCAACTGGTTACCAGACTATGAAAAGAATTCTATTAGCAATCAAGTTACTACTCTATTAGCAGTGGCTACAATTCTATTGGTAACAGAATTGGTCCTTCTTTCAGACTAGCACAATTTCTCTAGTACCAAGAAAAATATTCTGTACACAATGGGTATTTAATTAGTGTGTATTGTATGGTCTGGACACTATGGTGTGATATTTTATTATATTATGTCATATTCTGTTACTTTATATTTTCTCAGACTCCCCTTTCCCTTCCCTCTGCCCAAATGATATTCATTAAATGGACTAAGTTATGTTACTGATTACACCATGTCTCTTTCAGGTATGAAAATGAAGTGACCTTGCGTCAAAGTGTGGAAGCTGACATTAATGGTCTGCGCAGAGTCCTGGATGATCTGACCTTGGCCAAGACTGACCTAGAGATGCAACTTGAAAGCCTGAATGAAGAGCTAGCCTTCCTGAAAAAGAACCATGAGGAGGTGAGATACAATTCTGTTCCATCCAACTATGACACACCCCACTACCCTAAATTCTCACTATGGCAATGAAAACACATTAAGGGCTCTCCTTCCCCTACAGGAAATGAAAGATCTTCAGAACGTGTCCACTGGTGATGTGAATGTGGAAATGAATGCTGCCCCAGGAGTGGATCTGACTGAATATCTGAACCGCATGAGAACCGAATATGAGACAATGGCTGAACAAAATCGCAAAGATGCTGAAGCCTGGTTCAATGAAAAGGTGAAGAATTATTTATGTCTAAAATTTACATCATAAAGACCATGAAGGTCCTTATTATCATCTAACAATTCTTTTCTCTCTCTCTTCTCATTTACTTTCATGATCCTAGAGCAAGGAGCTGACCACAGAGATTGATACCAACGTTGAACAAATGTCCAGCCACAAATCCGAGATCACCGAATTGAAACGCAGCTTACAAGCTTTGGAGATTGAACTGCAGTCACAACTTGCCCTGGTAAGTTAACAATAAGCTCTGAACATTGGCTCTATGTTTCCAAAATGGATTAATGCATTTCTCACAAAAGTGTACTTTTCCATGAAGTACAAAGTTTTCCCATGCATTTTAAAACTTTCCAATACAACTTTGTGATCTCAAAGACAAATATTCACCAAAGTAGGGAATATCATCATTAGGGCATCCTGAAAGAAAGGAGTAAAGTAGGTAGTATCAAGATTTTGAAACACAATTAAGACCCCACATCAAGGTGGAAGGTATGAGTGGTATTGGTCTGAAATTACTGAAAAGTTAAACTAGTTCAGTTTACATATTTCTAATTGAAATCCAATTTCCTCATTCCTCTACAAATTTTCTAGTCAGAAAGAGTTTTGTTGTATCCTATTTAATCAATGATGTTGTCAGTTCACACCATGCTCCTTTTCTTCTTCTCAGAAACAATCCCTGGAATCATCCTTGGCGGAGACAGAAGGTCGTTACTGCGTTCAGCTGTCACAAATCCAGGCCCAGATCACTGCTCTGGAAGAGCAGTTACAGCAGATCAGGGCTGAAACAGAATGCCAGAATTCAGAATACCAGGTACTCCTTGACATCAAGATCCGCCTGGAGAATGAAATTCAGACCTACCGCAGCCTGCTAGAGGAAGGAGGGTGAGTGAAAGAAATGCCACTTTGGAAATTCTCCTGCCTACTAATTTTCTAGGTAGGGGACCTTCTCCCACTTTTTGAGAAGCAAATCTGTTAGGGAAGGAGTACTTAGCTCTACCTGAAATGTTGGTTTCATCCTGCCTAATTGTGGCCAAGGAACAATCATCATGGCCAGGAAGAAACCTTTTCAAGTTCTTTAAATTCTCTGCGTGTCTGTGTGTATGTGTCTCTCTGTCTGTCTCTGTCTCTCTGTCTCTCTCTCCTTTCTCTCTCTGTCTCCCTCTCTCTTTCTCTCTTCTGGTTCTCCCTATCTCACCCAGGCTGAAAGTGTAGTGACCACTTACGGGTTCAAAACCACTACTGACTGGGATGAGGGCTTTCACCTGCTCTGTTTTTCCCACCTGGGATGATTAATCCCTCCTTAGGCAGCCTGGTGGCCCTCTGCTCCCAAAGGTTCACCATATGGTGTCATGTTTAGTTATTATATCCAATCAGCTTTAACTCTACTGAAGTTCAGAATGCCCAAACTCAAGTGATCTACTAGTCTCAGTCTCCCCCGCTAGGAAGGACTATGGGCATGTACCATCACACTTGGCCATCTATCTCTTCTCAATCTATATAGTTTCCCTAATAGTCTAATAAAATCTGGGAGAAGGACACACATTTTCTGATGCTTATGGATAACCAATCATTAAAATTTGTCTCCCTTTTTAATGTTCTGGTAGCTCATCTGGAGGTGGTGGCCGTGGAGGTGGTGGATACGGAGGAAGCTCTGGTGGTGGATATGGAGGAAGCTCTGGTGGCGGAGGATATGGTGGAAGCTCTGGTGGCGGAGGATATGGCGGAAGCTCCGGAGGAGGATATGGTGGAAGCTCCGGAGGTGGCCATGGAGGTAGTAGCTCCAGTGGTGGATATGGAGGAAGCTCTGGTGGCAGTGGAGGATTCAAAAGTTCTGGCTCCAGAGGAGGTTCAAGTGGAGGACAAGGAGGAAGCACTGGATCGGGTGGAGAATCTCCATCTAAAAGTGGCTCTGGAACAAGGTCAGCAGAAACTAACTGGGGTAATCAGAATCCATTTTAATTTCTTGTGAATTTTACTTGTGAAGTTGTTGTTGGTTTTTTTCTTTTCATTCTTCAGAAGTATGGAAACACAGAAACAGTAAAGAGACTTTCCATTTTCAGAAAGAAATTGTTTTTATAATAATTGTGAAGCTAAAATATAGGCTTTAGATATCATTTTATGTTTTCACTTGGACTAGCTCTCACTAGAAGTCACTCAAATTAAAGTGACATCTCCTTAGAACATTAGCAATGAAAGAAACAGAGAGAGAGAAAGAATGACAGAACTTTGTTTCACACTCAAAAAAAATAAGTTTTTCTTAGACAAAAAAAAATATATTCTGAAGTTTAAAAAACCCCCTGAAAATATGATAGAATCCACTAAAGTTCTCTGATGCCTCATTGTGGTATAGAGGTGATTCTGCATTCTAAAAGAATACAGCAGTTCAGTGCAAGCTCTGGAAGATCTTAGAAGCAAGATTTTTAATATGAGCCAAGTGACTGACTACGGGTCTGTTGCTTGAGAACCATCCTAGTTAAGCTAGGGAAAGCTCCTCTCAGGTGGGCTACGTGATGAGGACTGTTTTAGTTAGCATAACTCTAAAAGGCCATCTAGGGAATGCTAAAGGGTTGTGACCTACGTTGGCAAAGGGAAGACCCACACTAACAAAAGTACAGATCCTTGAATAATGTCATGATCGAGTATAATTCAAAACTGAAATTTTAAATAAAAATCAGAAGGGGCAATTGTTGGTGGGCTCTTTTTTCATATTTTCCTTTAGATTAGAAATTTATTTTATGTATCTATATTTTGGTTGGCAAATGTGCCCTTTAAGGATTGAATTGCAATTTGCAATTATGATTATAGGAGGGTATTCCAGTTAATGGTTTCACTCATTATTATTTGTTAATTTTCCTTGCTCAAGTGCAGCTTTGGGGGCCTCTTGAACTCTCCTCAACTTCATTGAAGAGGAGCACTCTTCATTATAGAGTAGAAATACCAATACTGGTCATTTTTCACCTACAGATTCTAATAGAAGCCATTTGATCAAGACCATCATTGAGGAGGTGGCCCCTGATGGGAGAGTCCTTTCATCCAGAGTAGAATCAGAGACCAAGAAGCACTTCTATTAACCAGTGTTGACATGGAGGCCTCTTTCTCTAGACTACAACATATCAAGAAAATCTACATCATTCCTAATGGTCATGGACACCTTCTCTCTCTTTAAATATAAGGTGTCTAAAAGGTTTCTCATGGTTTCTTTTCTATTCCTTTTAATTTTACCAGAATATATTTTTCAATGAAAACTTCATTGAAAACTTTAACGAAAACTCATAAAAAATTTCTGTTCCTGTTTACTGATATATTTCAATAAACTTTCTTACTGATGCAAACAATGTAATTGTGTCCATGTTACCTTTCTTTTTTGAATGAGACATTAATAGCCTTAGCAGGAGAAGTTATAGTATCATAGAAGTCAAAGAAAGATCTTAAAGAAACCAACCAGTCTAATCCAGTTATTTTGTAGAGAGAAGGAAATTGAGGGTCAGAGGAAGGAAATGGCTTCCTCAAAGGTCACACAAGTAGTAAGTGCTAAGGTTGGATTTGACCCTATGTCATCTGATTCTAAATACAGGGCTTTTTCAAAAACAGCATATTGAGAGTGAGCCTCTATGTTTGAAAGTCATTTATCCAAAAATTATTTGCAAGCATATCTTAATTTCCTGAGACAAAAGTCTTGTCCTATATATTTGACCAGCGTCCTGAGAGTGTGTAAACGGTTTCTTCTAAAACAATGCCCATACATTACCTATTTTAAGAGTAGTTTCCTCCCTTAAAGTTGTAGAGTGTGTAACCTCTTTCTAATTCTCTGGGATACAATTACGTGATTTCTGGAAAACAACGGTAATTGGAATTACAATAAGTCACAATGATCTGCTCACCTGCCTCCTCTTGCCTTGCAGTCAAAAATGTGAACACCTCTTCATATCCACATTCAGTTGGGTAAAGAAATCTATCTTACCCTACATGGAAGTAGGAGGGGAAAGGAATAAAAGAAGGGGAGAATGACAGAAGGATGGTAGATTTGGGGAGGCAGTAGTCAGAAGCAAAACACCTTTGAAGATGGACAGACTAAAGGAGAGAGGGAGAAGGACAGAGAGAGAGAGAGAGAGAGAGAGAGAGAGAGAGAGAAGAGAGAGAGAGAGAGAGAGAGAAGGATAAATTAGGGAAATGAGATGAAGGGAAATATAGAGTTAGTCATAATAACTGGGAATGGGAATGGGATAAACTTATCCATAAAATAAAAGTGGATAGCAGTGTGAATTAAAAAACAGAATCCTACAATATGTTGTTTACAAGAACTCCACTTGGAGCAGAGAATTACAGAAAGAGTAAAGGTAAGAGGATATAACAGAATCTATTATTCTTCAGCTGAAAAGAAAAGCAGGTGTACAAATTACGATCTTAGAAAAAGCAAAAGCAAAAATAGATCTAATTAAAAGGGATAAGCAAGAAAATGTTTTGTTGACAAAAAGTCGCGTCTGACTCTTTGTAACCCCATTTGGAGTTTTCTTGGCAAAGATACTGGAGTGGTTTGTCATTTCCTTCTCCAGCTCATTTTAGGAAACTGAGACAGAGTTAAGTGACTTACCCAGGGTCACACAGCTAGTAAGCCCTCTGAGGCCAGATTTGAATTCATGAAGATGAATTTTCCTGATTCCAAGCCCAGTGCTTTAACCACTGAGCCACTTCACTGCCCCCACTGACAGAATATAGTAAACTTGTTAAGTCCAAGGCAGCAAAAGTCAGAATCACCAGCATCAGAGGCATTTCTTGTGCTGGCTCATTCATTCATATTTATTCAAATGTTGATGAAGCACGTACTACCTACAATTCATTGCAGGTGTGTTCTAGGTCTAAAGGAAATATATAGCTAAATTCTTGTTGGTTGACTTGCATAGGGGTGCTAGCTGATAAAAATAGATCTCAGCAGCACTGCCTAAGTATACTCTTTTATATCACACTTTTTTGCTTATGCTATGATAGTTTCTCAGTCAGCTTGAACTTATCAGTCCATAGACTGATACAAAATAAGATCATGTATGTAAAGAGTTTCACAAACCTTGGAATGCCATACAAATGGGAACTGCTTTTGTCATCCTTTTTCCTGGCTGTCACAACTGCTTGGTGGGCATTACTATCATCAGGTGCTTGTGGTTCAATTTCTTTCCTTCCACATGTCTGTATGCGGGAGGAGAATTTTTTCCATTGTCAGCCATGACAAATTTGCACCTGGTCCTAGGTTTTCCAGATTTGAGAACTAAATTGTATCATTCAACCCAAGGATCATTAGGCTCCAGGGAAATCAGATGATTAAGAACAGACATTTTTAATCTATAGATTTTGGGAGCTGTGAATTTGGGTCAGAATATACACATACACACATACATACATATATATATATATGTGTGTGTGTGTGTGTGTGTATGCATATATACAAATGTATTCATATGTGTGTGTATATACAAACGTATTCATATATATACATATATATGTATTCCGATCCAAGTTCACAGCCCCCAACATATATATACAATATATCTAAACACACAAATATACATATACATATATGTAGATGTTTGTGTGTATCTTCATTTCTACAGAATCAGTTTCATTTATAATTTTATGTATTTTATTGTATACATTTTAAAAATGTAATTCTAAAAGGGGGTGCATAGATTTCACCAAATAGTCAAAGGGATCCATGACACAAAAGGTTAAGGAGCCCTGATTTAGAGGAAAGCTGGATAAATGCTTGCTGGGGCTATCTGAACCAAGGACAGGGTGAAAGTGAGCTAGGATCCTAAGAGAGGTGTGGTGGGAAGTAGGAAGTTTCAGGCTAGCCAAGGGAATTTCCCTGAAGAATATGAGGAAGAAGAGAGTATAAGTGATATTCAGTGCTCTTCACTCATGAAATTCACCTTGAAGGCAGATTATGATCTCAAGCTACTGGAAACATCTAAAGTAAATAGCAGCTTATAACAACAGCAATTTCACAAAGGAATTGAAAGTGAATCAGGTAAGGAATGAGAAGGGAGCTTTGGATCAAGTGTGGTGGAAAGAAACAGGTTATGGAGAGAGTGAGTATGGAGAGAGGGAGAAAATGAATGTGAATGAGAGCAGCAGCATTGCTGTGACACTACCATCTGTGGTCCTGGACCTTCCCTTATCCCACCCCACCCACAGTTTCTTCATTGTTATGAAGCACAGTGGAATTGAAAGAATATTAGGCTCGGAGTCACAATCCATCTGTGACTCACTTACTATAGAACCATGGACAAGTCCAATGCCTATCCCCACCTCCACAGGGTGTTGTACGGTTCAAATGAAGTTACATGTGGAAAGAACTTCAGAAAATAATATAACACAACATAAATGTCTGTTATTGTTATGAAGGGACATGTTTCTGAGAATCATGGGGTCAATATTCAGATGTGGAAAGGCCATTAGAAGCAACTGAGGTAGCAAGGTAGAGCAGCAGGTAAGGGCACTGGAGTTGAATTCAGGAAGACCTAAGTTCAAATCTTGTCTGAGATACTTATTAGCTGCTTGTGACCTTAGGAAAGTCACCTAACCTCTCTCATTCTCAGTATCCTCATCTGGAAAATAGGAATAACAGTAGCACCCATCTCATAGAGTTTTTGTAAAGATCAAATGATATAACATATGTATACTATTTTGCCAACCTGAAAGCACTATATAAAAGATAGATGAGTAAACTGAGGTACAGAGAATTCAAGTGACATATGCAGAGTCATACAGCTAGTAAGTTTCTGAAGCTATATGTATACAGCATCATGGCTTTGGCTGTTCCAGAACCTACACAGTGTGCACCAGAATAGAAGAATGATGTTAAAATCAGGTTCAAATCCTTCCTCAAATATTTACTACCTATGTGACCCTAGGGAAATCATGTAATTTCTCTCAGCTTCAGTGTCCTGTCAAATGACAAGATTGGCCTCAGCCTCCATGTCCCTTCCAGATGTAAATCTAAGATCCAGTGGGGTCAAATATAGCCTAGAAATGTCCATCTGAATTCCACCACCTCTTATGGAGCTCTGGAATTGAAGTTTAGAAAGTCATGGACTCAGGTCTCACCTCTGATACTAGCTATGACCAGGGACAGCTCATTTATCATAAATTTTTTTTAAAAACTGGACTTTATTGTGATTAAAATTTAACAAGAAGGTAAACTGAGGCAATTCTCCAAACAAGCTAACATTTATAAACAGGGGAATGCTGTCTTCCAACAAATGAGTCGATAGATTACCTTCATTTATGACAAAGGCCCCAAGGAAAAGGATAGTTCCTTTTTATAGGTTTTGGGATATATAGAGCAAAGAACTGAATAGTGTAAGTGACATCACATGGTTGAGGGCAACATGATTAGTTACAGAGCTGAGATGCAGGCAACAACATAACTGTTTGAAAGTTTGGTAATGGGGGCTAGCAATAGCCTCCTCCATCCCTCCTAAGAGTCCAGGTACAAGATACCATACCATCCTTGGTCACGTAAAGATATTCATCCTGACTCTCTTATTTTCACATGCATCCCTCAAGGTCAATTAAATTCCATGAGGCAAGCATAGATCAGGGACAAGCAGCAGAGCTGGATTTTTAAGCATACCCCATTACTGGCCAGCTGAATCAGTTACAGGAGAAAAGCAGGTACAGGACAAAATCAATTAATTGTAAATAGGATCAATAAATAAATGATACAGGATCAACCTTTCTTTTTGGAGGCAGTTAGGGTTAAGTGATTTGCCCAGGGTCACATACTTAATAACTGTCTGAGGCCAGATTTGAATCCAGGTCCTTGTGGTTCCAGGGGCAGTGCTCTATCTCCCACACTACCACACTACCTAACTGCCCTGATACAGGATCAGTCTTAATCTTCTCAATTCCCCCCTTTGATACGTGTGTGTGTGTGTGTGTATGTATGTATATGTGTATGTGTATATGTATATGTATGTATATGTGTATATATCATATATATATATACATATGCACGTTAACTTATAAGTATATTGATCAATATATAGTGATAGACTACTTTTTGACAAGCTAATCCTATAAGATCTTTAATATAATCATATCAACAGTAGGGTGCATTAACAAAAGTCTTACCAGTAGAAGTTCAAAAAAGCTTTAACAGTCACTAATGCACAGCAAAAAAAGAATAACAAGACTGATTAATCATAGTACAAGCCACAGTA